CCCAAAAAAAACTATTTAGGGAAATATTGCTCGCAAAAACAACAATTAACTTTATTATTATTATTATTAAAAGAAAAAAACAGCAACACACACGTTAAATATAGGGATGGCGGGCATATGAATTCGATTCGATTTCATAACATCAATTTTTTTTAAATAAAATTTCGAGTTTAGTCGATTTAAGTTTACATATTTTTTTGGAAGAATAAAGTTATGTTTAGGGTTAGTGGTAGATTCCGAATTTTTTTAGGACGAATACACATATATTAACACTATAAACTTTTTGTATATAGGCGAGTAAAATAAAATTTTAGGATAGACATAATAAGTAAAATGGATAATTAAAAAAAAGAGATTCAAATTTATAGACAGAAAACTCATATTTCTGAGAGGGCATTAGCCCATCCTAAACATCACATGCATTTGCCACTGTTTAGAGTTAAAAATCTCATACCTAACCCGATTATATAATAATATAATTATTTTTTATATACTTAAAGATAATTACAATAATATATATTTCTCTATAACTTTTTTAATTAAATATTTGTTTTATCTAATAAAAATAATATATATATATATATCATGTCAGATTAAGTGCAATTTTTTACCTAAAAAACCGGAATGAATATCAGATAGAGTAGAGCGTTTATAAACTCTTAGTCAAAATGAGTGATAAGGGTGCGTTTGGTTCACAGAATGTAAGATTATCAATGGGAATAAAAGATTACCAGAGAATAAGATTACTGGGAATGTTGTATTTTGTGTTTGGTTGATTTAGCAGGAATGTAAGATTACCGTGTTTGGTTAAAGGAATAGAACATTATTGGAATGTATATTTGACCAAATTGTCCTTATTATATATTTGTATAATATTACAAATTGTAAAATATTTATATATTTTCTTTAAAAAATTAAATTCATAATATTTATACAATTTCTTTTATAAAATTAAAAATATAAAAAAGGTTTAATGAAAGGGTAAAAAAAATTTTAAACCCTGAACTTCTTATAAAATTTTAATTATAGACTTTTTTTTTTGTAAATCTAAAATAATTTAAGGATAAATTTGTAATTTAACCTTCGTAGAATTTTTATTATTCAATGACAGAATAAGGATATTTTTAAAAAAAAAATTAAGGGCATTTTAGTCCAAAAAGCCGATAATGTTACAATACCTAAGGGAATGGAGGTAATGACATTCCCGGTAATATACCCCAAAAAATCTACTATTGATAATAAAACATTACCGAGAATGAGATTCCCAGCCAACCAAACATGGGACATGGGAATCCCACAATCCTTGAACCAAACACCCCCTAAATGTAAAAGAAAATGCTCGAGTTGAGTTCGGTCGACTAAAATCTAAACCGACACTTAACTTTATAAACTACTTATTTAGTCACTCATGTATTTATATATTTATGATTTGATCATCCAACTATTTTTTTTCTGTAAAATCATACTTAACATTATATTTTATTCTTATGTTAGTCACCGTTATTAAAAAATTAACGATGTTGTTGATGTCGTGCCACGTCAAAATCACTGTTAATAACGGATGATCAAAACATATACAAAACCTAACGTTAGTTATGATTTTGAAGAAAAAAAATACTTTAATAATCAAAACAAAAATACAAAAATAGGTAAATAACTAAATCTATACTTTATCCTTACATATATAGACGGCCGATACAGGGTTCCATCTCTTAGCTAGGGTTGAATTGCTGGGTTTTTTTTTCAGATATAGTTTGTTTGAAAGGATATTAATCCAACACGACACTAAAATCCAGTGGAAAATGTGAAGCCCCCTTTTCCCAATTTATATCACGTTGAAATACACGAGTGGTGAGCCAAACAGTTTCCCCCACAATCACAATGGCAACACCACAAAACAAAACTGATGACAAACACAGGAGCAATTGTTTTCCAATGACGACCATGAAGTGCTAGTGTGATGTGTTTGGTGATGATATCATCACACTATTTTATTAAGATGATGGTTAAATCTTCTTAAATATCAGACCATGTAAGCAGTCGGTGGCAAAATAAATAGCGCTTTGTAATGTGCTTTAGGCATGCACCGGTAGAAAGAGTATGTCATTTTTCCTGAGAATTTTAAATTCAACCCTTTACATAAAATGAAATAATTTTAATTAAAAAATGGAGTAATTTAATTTATTTTCAGGGATCACTTTTTTTCCACGCTACCAATCTAATAATAACTATATTCATTGCATATGAAATTTGAATTTCCCGTCCAACTCAATTGGTAAAGCGCAAGGCTCTTAACCTTGTGGTCGTGGTATCGAGTCCTACGGTGGGCAATTCATAATTCGGAGGTACTCCACGGAAACTGCTCCCAACACCAGCCTACTATCTTACCTCTCTCTTATCCCATTACGTATGAGAATAAGAGTCACCTAATTTATTGCATATGTACACTTTTCTTTGGGCCAAAGAATTGAGGACCCACTACCTTTATCAAACAATCATAGGCCGTGGACAATGGTCCAGTTACTTATTTTATGTGGTTAAATATAATTTAATAATTTTGTTAATAAAATATAATTACTTTTATTTGTCTTTCCTATTTTCCGTCGATTTTTGAAGAGGTAATCATTTGTATGGTAACAAGGAAAACTCAATTCCCTCCTATTTTATTTCCTTATAAGTTTTCATTGTACTAAGTACACACCAAAATCATTTTCTCTCCTCCTTTTATTCCTTTCCAATTTTCAATTGTACCAAACGCAACCTAAAACCAAACATTTTTGATAGAGAATATTGGACCCCCTCCTATCTTTCCTTTCAAATGAAAAAAATAGGAGAAATTGTGCCGACAGTGTAATTGGAACCATGTGACAAAATTGGAACACACTTAGTCTCATATATAAGGTTGTAAATGAAACAATACACATCGTGAACTACTCAAAGTTTTGTCAACTCTTGAATTGAATAACGGAGTACCCTTTCTTTATTGTTTCGGGAAAAGAAGGGATAGTTTGAAGTTGATAATTATAGTTCAGTTATTGAATAAAATGTGACGTTAACCGTAAATTTTACATACACGTGAAAAGAAAACGTTCATGTTAATCTATATACTATTTTAAAACATTTTACTTTTAATTATCTAAACCCGAAATCCAATTAATTAATCAATCACTTAATCCAAAAATTGCTCATTCAAAATTTATTATTATTTTTTAGGTCTCTCCTATTATTTCATTTTTCATCCAACTAAATAAAAACTTATATTTATTTGATAATTGTAATTATATATATATATATAACACCTACTTAACTAAAAGGAAAAGTTGGTGGGCTTTGTGAGACCCGTGGGCATTTACGACTATATGAGTCCGAAAACATGGGTCAAAGTACGAGCTTTAATGAAACATGATTTCTTGTTACATAATTCTTATGTTTGCATTCTTAACGATTTTTAAATTTATTACGTTAGTCTATGCTGTGTATATGTTTTCTTCATTAATTTCAATTTAAATATTATTTATAAATGAACTCGTTGAGTGATTTCAATGATAAAAAATATTGTTTTTTTTAAACATCTTAAGTTCGAACAATTACAACATCTGTCAAATGTTTGTATATCGTCAAAGACTAAAAATAATATATTTTAATCGTCTAAAACTATTAAAAGAATCTTATTTTATTAAAATATTTTTAAATTTTTTTTTATTAGTAATTCGATTAACATATTATAATAATTAAGTTTAGTTATAATTATTTTTACTTTACATTTTATAATTACAACTATGATTATTTTCCATAACATTTTTATTTTTATCGTGTTGATGATATTATGGATTTGATGACAAATGACGGGGATAAATATTTAACAAATGAGACACAGTTTTGCGTATCGACGAGTACAACAACAACAACAAAATCCTATTCCCATATGTAATGGGGTAAGGGGAGGTGAGGTAGTAGGCTGCCCCCAACGCCAGGTTGAAGGCAGCTTCTGTGGAATACCTGTTAAAAAGTAAAATTATAAAATTATAAAAGGAGATGTATTTATGAAATTTTAAAAAACCGAGAACATATTCTTAAATAAAAAAATTTAAAATATATAAAAAAAAATTTAAAATTTTTAAAAGGAGCGATTGCTCCACTTGTCCCGCAAACATCTCGGCTGATAAAAAAAGAATATGAACTTTCACATGCTTTCCTTCATGATTATCATGAATGATGTTGGCAAATAATGGCCAAATCTTATACTTATATTTGCGCAATTTTATGATAAACTTAAGGGGGCTATTTATGATATTTACGCAATTTTAAACTTTCATCATATCTTATACTTATATTTTACGTATGAATTATTATTTTTTACATTTTATTTAAAAGGAAATTGAGGTTAAAAAAGAAGTTATCTTTTGGATTCTTTGACAAGAAATACCAATCCAAGCCTTTAAGCAAAGACCAAGGTTCCGTACGTGATGACTTCAATATTATTTTAAATGTTTTTTTTTTCAAAGTTGATTATTTAAAAGCAATAAATTAAAGTTCAAAAAGTAATAAAATACATTAAATATCATTAAAATATGTTCAAATAATTATTTTTGGTCATTAAACCTTTAAAAATGATAAAATAATTTATAAATTTATCAAATCGTTATAAAATAGTCATTGTGATGATATAATAAGAGTAAAATTTTAAAGAATTTAATGGTTATTTTACAACATTTGAAAGTTTAATAGTCAAAATGATAATTTAATCATAATTCAGTAACATCTAATATATTTTGTCTTAAATTAAATTTCACTATTAAAAATTAATATAAATATACAAAAAAATGAAAAGAAAAAGGTATAATAACTAACCAAAACGCGTTTTCTGTTGTTAAAGAAAGAGAAAAGGTGGACCAATTGCTTGTTTCCTAACATTGCCTGAGAACTTGAGAGCTCATTGCAGAATATTTTACAATTGTTTTTTTTAAAAAAAGAAGCAAACAGTTAATTTCGCTCTTTAGATTTCACTTTTGATTTTGGTTCATGTGTGTGCATCATTTGTCGGGTTGTAAAACAGAGTTACAAAAGTAAAGTTAATGATGGGGAATTGCTGCTCGGACGTCGACGGCGGGATGACGGCTGTTGGTGGCACCGCCCCCTCCACTTCCGCTGCCAATCAAAACGACGCTGCCGACTGGTACTTTAAGTCTCGTGGCATGCAAGGCCTCTTCTCTCAGATCGAGGTCTTTTCTTTCTCAGTTACTTGAGCGAATAATAAATAGAATGACTAAATTTTGCTTAAAATGAACGGTCGAATTTAGTTTGTAGCTGAGTGATTGGCTGATTGTTTCACGGAGTAGGATTTTTTTAGGTATTTAGTATTTAAATTCGGAGTCTTTCTTTTTATCAATGTTGTATAGATAATCTGGTTTCTGATTCATTATCTCTAAAATTTGAGAAATTTGTTATTTTTTTATTTCCTTTTCTGTTTTTTCCCTTAACTAACACTGCTGTTTCATTGACGATTCTGTGCAAAAAACGATGTTATGCAGTTATCGTTTTCTGCTACAAATTTGCGAGACAGGGATGTGTTCTCTAAGGTATGTACGTATATGAATATACTGCAAAATTGACTCTTAACTGTACATGCGATGTAGTTAAGAAGTTCAGTGCCTTGATTTTGCTGAACTACATTTGACTTTGTTGTTGAAATTAAAATTATGGTGAAAAGGTCGGTAAAACTTCCAGCAAAAAAAGTTCTGAGCTTAAGGGGCTACTCGATGCTGTGTTAGTTGATAGCCGGTAATAGAATTTATGTAGGATCTTTTTGGTGCACACCGACTTAATGATGCCTTTGAATAAGTGGAATTAGGAAATAAGGTTTGAGGAGTAGAAAGCAGGAGTTGAAGGTGAGAAGTCACATTGTAGAGAGAAAGAATGTGTTATAATATACGGGCTACACAACTTTAAGAGTCTGTTTTTAAATTGAAACTTAGATTCCGTATAGACAAGTTAAAATTAAATGATGCATTTGATGCCACCGACAAAGTGGGGTTTCCTCATCACGTAATGAAGAAGGGTATGGTGTATTCTTGCTTGCTTGGCTATTAAGAGTAGTAGTGTTACAGAAAGTTATGAATCATGCTATGTTTCAAGGATGAAATCTGCAAGGGAAAAATACTTGAAGAGCTCCTTTGTTAATCCCATATCCTAACTGACCAAGCAAAGGCTTCTATCTTAAAACATCCTAGGAATATAAGCTTGATGAATCCAATAATCATGTCACTAACTCTAGGGATAATGCCATCATCTTGATCGAATATTTAGGTAAGCAACTTGATATAGAAGAATAATTCAGAGATAAGGACAGATCGGTAAATCTAACATGCATGAAAAATAAGTCTCTGCGTAGCATTATTTTGAACGCTTAGTTGGCCACTTACATATTTTTGCAATTTTTGTATTAACTGATGATGTTTATGTACTTTATTTTGATGGTTTATTCTTTGGTCACGGGAATTATATTTTTGTTGCAGAAAACTTAGCCTGATATCTCATAAGTTTTGTTTGCTTTAGAGTGATCCTATGGTGGTGGTTTATATTCAAGAAAGAGATGGAGCATTTACAGAAGTATTTCGCACCGAAGTAGTTCTCAATTCATTGAATCCTACATGGATCACAAAGTATACAATTACTTATCAGTTTGAGATTGTTCAAATCTTGCTGTAAGATCTATTCTTCAAGTCATTTTTTGGGGGGTCAGCAAAATGATGGTTTGATTTTTTTTCACTGTAATTTAACTTGTTTGATTTTCCGTTATCTCAGGTTTCGTGTCTTTGATGTTGACACTCAGTTTCATAATGTCGCAGTAAAGGTATATTTGATTATGGTTCTTGTCCCTCCCCCCACACTCTGCCTCCCTTTTTGAAGAGTTTGGCTTAGAACTGATATACTTTACAGGAATATGTATACCGTGTTTATGACACACACACACACGTAAACAAATGTATATTATTTGTCTTTGTTGTTGTTGTTTCGGATTTATTTTATCAGAAGTAGTATACTTATTTACATTTCTGTTATTTGGAAATATGATTTGACTTTGTTAATGATTATAACAATTTCCCCTAATATAGTAATATTACCTTCATAACAGAGCATGCAAGCATGAAATTTTAGTTGATACTTTCACTTATTCACAGATGCTTAAGCTGGAGGAGCAGCAATATCTAGGTGAGGCAAGTTGTGCATTGTCAGAGGTATACATAAGTATCTTCTTACTCGTTTTTCCTTATATAGTGTCTCTCCCTGTTAAACAGGGTCTTTGAATACAAAGATCTAATATAATGGAATGCCCTACTTTAGTTGAAAATACTTGGATTTAAAATAAAATCTACGGATATTCACTTAACTTCATTTTAGTTAAATTGTTATTCCCAATATAGTTATTAATCAAATAATGATTTTTGTTTTACAGATTGTAAGCAAACCAAACAGGTCATTAACCTTGGATCTTGTACAAAGGGAAGAGTCTGTCCCATCAATCCATTCCCAACACCGCGGAAAGCTTACTGTGCATGCTGAGGAATGCTTTAGCTCAAAGACTACAGCAGAGATGACATTGAAGTGTTTAAATTTGGAATCCAAGGATCTTTTCTCAAAAACTGTATGCATTGCTGATTTCAATTTTTCTTAACTCTGTCATATTTTGTCTGGAACTTTAGTTATCATTGGTGCACTTCTGGACTTGTCTTGCAGGATCCCTTTTTGGTAATATCAAAAGTCGTTGAGAATGGGATTTCTATTCCTGTTTGTAAAACTGAAGTCTTAAAGAATGATCTCAACCCAACATGGAAGTCAGTGTTTTTAAATATCGAACAAATCGGAAGCAAGGTATAGCAAGTTTTTATTCATACTTTTAACAAGATATTCTATTTCCTTAATTTGTTATATTGCGATGCAAGGTTGGTCTTTGCCAGTCTTGCCGGAGAGCAACCATTTTCCTTTCCAACTGTTTGTTGATTCTTCCTGTTAGTAATCCTGATCTTGCTCAAATTTCTGAGGTCTTTAACCATGGAATTGGTTATTGCTGCTGATCTGTTTATAAATTGCAATCAGCATAAATATGCATGTGTCTGCTTAACATGTGTAGACGTTTTCATCATTGATGTTGAGCATTTGTCTATAAGTTACCCTTTACTGTTTTTGTTGATTATTTTTTGAGTTTTCGTTTTCCAAATGAACGTGCAGGATATTCCACTAGTGATAGAGTGTTTTGACTTCAACAGCAATGGCAAGCACGAACTAATCGGGTAATTGTTGATCTTACTTTCTTATGCTCCTTTTCCTTTAGACACTTGCTGATGTGGCTTAATATTTTTGGGTTTTATCAGAAAAGTGCATAAGTCACTAGCAGATTTGGAAAAGCTTCATTCTGCAAGGGAAGGAGAAAATTTATTTTTGCCAACTCTGGTTGGGCATGATAACCAGCACAAGGTTTAACTATTTGACCTGAAATTAATTTCATATTGAACTTCAGTTTTGTAATTTGCTAACTGTGATGTAGGTTTTAAAAAGCAAGCTTTTTGTGGAAAAATATTCTGAGACTGTCCAATATACCTTCCTGGATTACCTAGCCGGGGGGTTTGAGCTGAACTTTATGGTTGCCGTTGATTTCACTGGTACTTTTTACTCGTACAATTGACATGTTCTAAAATTCTGCCCATCGCAACCCTTTATGTAAATTATTAGTGATATCTCTTTTTCAATCTTTTTCTTGTTAAGTTGGCAACAAAACATGCCACATCTTTAATAAAGTTAATCATGGAACCAATATGAACAGAAAAGCTGAACCACAGGGAAAAAAGTTTAGTTAGTTAAACAAACTGTTTGTAAGAACCATTTCTGCTATTATGCCTCCTTGTTTCTCTCTGTCTCCCCCCCCCCCCCGGTTTAACAAATTTAGGATGCTCAGCTAAAACATACTGTAAGTATATAGGCCTTTGGTTATAATGATGCCGCACTTCTTCATCTTAGGACCTTAGGATTTTCTTATATAAATATGAAACGGTTGAACTTTGAAGTCATATGGATGAATGTGGAAAGCATCATGCTGCATGTGCAGTTCTTCAGAAGTACCATAACACATTTTATCTTTTCCTTTTAATCCTTAATTGTGGTCTATCAGCTTCAAATGGCAACCCCCGCCTCCCGGATTCCTTGCATTATATTGATCCATCAGGACGGCTGAATGCATACCAGAAAGTAAGAATCAAATATCATTAATAGTTTCCATTTGTCTTGTTCCTTCGTATGCCCCAGAAAATGTTATGCATATTTTAATCCAGGCAATCTATGAGGTTGGAGAGGTATTGCAGTTTTATGATGCAGACAAGCGCTTTCCCGCTTGGGGATTCGGAGCACGCCCCATTGATGGTCCAGTTTCTCATTGTTTCAACTTGAATGGAAGCAGCAACTACTGCGAGGTAAGCAGTTGCTAGAATCAATCTAATTTCTGTAACTTTTATGCTTTTATCCCAGACTCTGTTCCCCTACATTAACAAATATCATTGTCTCCAGGTTGAAGGAATCCGAGGAATTATGATGGCCTATACCAGTGCACTCTTTAACGTGTCTCTTGCAGGGCCAACACTGTTTGGCCATGTGATTAACAGAGCTGCAATGATTGCCAGCCAATCCCTGGCCCATGATGCTAAAAAATACTTTGTTTTGTTGATAATCACGGTAAGATATTAACATGATACATTCTATTGTTGATTAGAAAAAGCCACTGTTTCTGATAGTTGTTAATATTGCTCTAGGATGGGGTAATAACTGATCTGCAAGAAACCAAAGATGCCCTGGTCAAGGCATCGGATCTCCCATTGTCAATCCTCATCGTTGGCGTTGGGGGAGCCGACTTCAAAGAAATGGAGGTGAGTTATTACTGGATATCCCCCATTTATATCCCTTTGAGGGAGAATGATCTCTTTAATGGAGTATTGTTTACAGATTTTAGATGCAGACAAGGGGGAAAGACTGGAAAGCTCGACCGGACGAGTTGCTTCCCGAGATATCGTTCAATTTGTTCCGTTCAGGGATGTACAGAGTAAGTCATTTACTCATTCTGATGCTTCCGAAATGTTCCATAGTCGGGGATATAACAATCAGTTTTACTTGTTGCAGACGGAAGGACTTGTGTTGTCCAATCACTTCTGGCAGAACTACCAACACAATTTTTAACCTACATGCGAAGCAGAGATATCAAACCAAACAGTTAGTTTTCATAAATATAAAGATTGTGCATATCGAAATTATTTTTTCGGATTTCGAAAGCCTTGAGTTCGCTTCTTGTAAACGCTGTGCGCTTAAACTTGCCTAAAGAGACGGCGTAATGTATATCGGCATTGTGGCGTTGGGTTGAAGATTCATCTGTCAACATTAAGAGGATTATCGGCGCGTTGGTTTTCATGTCCACCGTCCACGATGGGTGGCATAGAGACTGATTTATAATTGGCGACTACCAAGGAAAGAGTGGCAAAAACAATGGAAAATTATTCGGGTTTTACCTATCCATAAATCACATGTATTTAAGTATCTTGAAATTACAATAACAATTATATTAACTGAATTAAAATTCAGTTGAACAACAACAAAAATCTTATTCCCATATGTAATGGGGTAAGAGGAGGTAGGGTAGTAGGCTGCCTCCAACGCCAGGTTGAGAGCAACTTCCGTGGAATACCTCCGGCAGTCAACAAATTAAAAATATAGATAAAATGCAATGCATGTATAAATAAATAAATACATAGTTGAACAGTCTTCATATGTAGTCATCATATGCGCGTCTGTAATGAGAAGTAATCCCTGCAAATAAATCCCTACGAAAAAATTTATATATGTAGACAGAAACGTAATACCCGGCTGAATTAAAATTCAGTTGAAAATTATACTAATTTGTTGTGTTACTCCAAAGATGAGGAAAAAATCCTTTAAAGTTGGACTAAAGTTTTGTGACGCTGGTATGAAATTAAATTTATTATCATATTAATTTAAAATTTTATGATTTTTAAATGAATGAAATCGAAAGCTTATAGTTTTTTCTCGGTCTGCTCAAGTTTTCTTCTTCAACAGTTCGTTCTTGTACACTTTTTATTAGCTGGTGGTGGCATTAGTCTTAGTATTAGTCGCTGACTATTTGTATTTTTTTTTATCTTTTTTCATTTTTCTTACACCATTTTTTGTTTTTCCTTTGATTTTTAATTTTTAATAAATATACTTTTATGATATATTTTTCTACATTTTTATGACACATTTTTCTTTAATTTTTATGACGCATTTTCTTTTACCTTTTGATAGAGATTATTCGACTCTCCCAATTCAGTTTGTTTCATTCGCAAACGTCAGGGTTCAAACCCATGATTTTGTTGAATTTTAATTTATAATTTTCTAAAGTTGAGTTTAATATAATCTCGATTGATCAAAATAGTATTTATTTATTGTTATGTTTTATTTTTTTTATTTATTTTGGATCTTCAAATTGAAAATTGAATTTTGATGGGCGATGAATTTAAAAAGAGGAGACTTTGACGAATGAGCGGGCCTCAGTTGGGCTGAATATGCAAATAATACAAATTCCATATATTGTCTTGCTATTTCAAGTCAATGAAGAGTCAACCCCATTTGGAGAAAAAAATTGAATAAGCATTCTTAAATCTTAATTCAGACTAGAAATTTTAGAAATAATATATATTTTAAAAAAATAAAATAATGTTTTTTCAATACTTATTTTTTTAGCATTTATAAATTTAAAATAAATATAATTTTGTTTTCCTAAAAAAGAAAAATCATTTCTTGAAAATAAATATAATGTCAAAATTAATTATAACGTTTACTAGAATGATTATTTTGATCTTTATTTTTTTTAGAAATTAAAATAACCTTTATTAGATGGAACCCTTAGTTGACTAATAAAAATAGAAATAGTCTGCCCCTCAATAGTGCCCCGCTTCCTGCCCTTCACCATTACACACCATGTAGTCATCTAAAAAACAATTACACGCCATGTAATATTGGATAAATTCTCGATATAATGCACTCAAAATAAATAATTCACGAAATAACGTTCTCCCAAGATTATTTGTTGAAATAGGGCGAAATCAATAGTGTGGCCGTAGGTCGCCATGCCTTCCGGGCGACCTACGACGTGGCTTGCTTCTGTGCATGGGACATGCACAACCCAACCATAGGTCGCCATGCACTCCCAGCGACCTCCTAGGTCGCCATGCACGCCCGGCGACCAAGGAGGTCGCCATGCACTCGAGGCGACCAAGGATTCATGCATGGGGAGATCGTGCCATGCACTCGGGGCTCGGTTCATGCATGGGGCACTCGAGGCGACCAAGGATGACCAAGGATCGGTTCATGCATGGGGCACTCGGGGCGACCAAGGATCGGTTCATGCATGGGGCACTCGGGGCGACCAAGGATCGGTTCATGCATGGGAAGAATAGGGAGATCGTGCATGTGTAGGTCGCCATGGAGTCCCGGCAAGGTCGCGAGCAGGCGAGCATGCAGCAGGGGATGTCGCCGCGAGTGCATGGCGACCTCCTTGGTCGCCGGGCGTGCATGGCGACCTAGGAGGTCGCTGGGAGTGCATGGCGACCTACGGCTACTGTTGATTTCGCCCTATTTCAGCAAATAATATTGGGAGAACGTTATTTCGTGAATTATTTATTTTGAGTGCATTATATCGTGAGTTTAGCCTGTAATATTAGTATTAATTATTTTAATAATTATCAACATTTATTCTTATGTTTTTTTTGCCATATTTTGTTTTATATGTTTATGTTGGTTTTTTTTATATAATTTATTTATTTACAAGGGTAAAGTAGGCAAATGGCCCACTGACTATAGAAGGTTGATTTGTTGAGTCTCTAACTAAAAATTATAAAATGATCATCTAACTATGGAGCATTGTTTTATCGAGTCTTTCGACTATTAAAATTTACAAAATGATCAACTGACTATTCATATATTCCAAACTCATCATTTTTCGTTAAAAATTGACATTCGTCTGAGTTTGACTTTAATATGCTAATTGAGATATAATTAAATCATATTTTATTGATGTCTATTGGTATTGCCGTTATTTTTTAACACTAACTTGACGACATAATGTAAAAGGTGAGTCGATCCACAAAATACAACTCATATGATTCTAGGATCATATTTTACCATATCAAAGCCAACATGTTAACGTTCAACTCAAACGATTGCTAATTTTTAATAGAAATGGGCGAGTTTAGAACATATGAATGGTCCGATAACTATTTTAGAACTTTTAATATTCAGAGGACTCAATGCATCACATATAGTCGAAGGACCACTTGTGTACTTTACCCTATTTATTATTGATTAAATAAAATTATATTTTATAAGATTTTTTTAAATTAAATTTATATCTTAAATCATTTTAATATTTTTGCCAGAATTTATTCATTTCTAATTTTGTAATAAAATAAAATTATATTTTAAATTAAATTAAATTAAATTTAATAATAAATCCTTTTTAATTTAAACAATATTTAATATTTTTAATCATTTTTATACAATTATATTTAAAACAAAATTAATCATTTAATTAAAAAATTTAAACTTAATTAAAGTTTATATTTTTATGTAAAATTATTTTTATATTATGAGTTAAACATTAACATGCGAACTGAGATATGATAGTCGTTTGTGATTACGAGATTATATTTTATCTTATCTCGATAACAAGTTAACGTTGAGCTCAGACTGTCGTCAATTTTTTAACAGAAAATGACGAGTTTATAACATAATGAATAGTTAAATGATTATTTTATAACTTTTAATAGTCGATAACTCAATAAAATAACATTCTATAATCGGAATTCATTTTTTATATTTCATCTTATAATTTATTTTAAATTAATATTCATCCATAAATAAATAAATTATATAAAAGGGAGTTCAAATATAAATATAACATGTGTAATGGTGAGGGGCAGGAAGCGGGACACTATTGAGGGCAGACGATTTATATTCGATAAATAATCAACATATATTGTTGATATAATATTTTTATATATGTTAAATTATTAATGAAATAATGTCTTGTCATCTAAAATGATAATGTGATTTGAATCATATTATCAAAAGTAATGATATGACATAAATTATGTTATAGATGGTGACGTGACACATATAATATCATTTGATATAATATTGTGATGTGTGACACATCAACAATTAAGCACATACAAAATTATCATGTCAACAAAATACATTGACCGTTAATTAACAAATAATTTTCATCTAGTAGGAGTCATTTTAACTAAAATAATAAAACGTTAAAAATTACTCTAAAAAAGAATAAAAACTAAAATGATCATTTAAATAAATGGTGCGTATAATTTCAATATTATATCAAATACTAAAAGTACATTAACATGTAATAGTAGTTACAGTAATTAAAAACAATTGTTTTATAGAGAGAGAGATAGGGTTTTCAGCATTTTCAGCTATCTTCATCCTTGGTTCACACTTCCGTCATAAGCAGACGTTTCTCGTTCTTGGCATCTCTCTCTTGTGGGTTTTCAGCATTTTCAGCTATCTTCATCCTTAGTTCACACTTCAGTCATAAGCAGACGTTTCTCCACTCTTGGCATCTCTCTCTTGTGTTGGCCGTAGCAATTCATGTTTTATCTGTAACTATTTGCTTCTCCTTTTTCCTTTCATTTTCTCTTCTAATTAGTTATTCCCATGTCGATTAATTTGCGTTATGCTTAGAAAAAACTATATATATAATCTTTGTTTTCGGTTTTGCATGAGAGAAAATAACAGATAAACTAAGCGGAATCTTGGAAGACTAAAAAAGTGGATCGACGGCAAGGGAAGAGGCCGCTGCCGTCCGATAATGAATCGGAAGCGAAAGAGGAAGCGGCAGATCACCAGTTCTACACGGCTAGGTCTCAACATGACACCAACGCCATGGTTCAAGGCCTAACTCAAGTTATCGCGAACGATAACAATCCACTACTTAAACTTCATCGTTTTGATCAAAATCAATCTCAACATCAACAAGCTCAACCTCAAGGTATAACTGTTTCTGGGTTAATTTGATTACAACTGAATAACGGTGATAAACCCTAACCGGATGATCTCTCGTAATGATTTCAGAAAGATTTTCATATGATTGCAGGTTTTAGGGCATTGGAATTAAGATCTATTAAATTTAGCTTTAAAATTATATTATTATTGTGTTTGAAGGAAAGACGAGGAGAGTGCAGTATAGAGGTGTTAGGCAAAGGCCATGGGGCAAATGGGCCGCTGAAATAAGAGATCCGAGCAAGGCTTCTCGCGTCTGGCTCGGAACCTTCGCAACCGCCGAAGCGGCCGCCTTAGCTTACGACGAAGCTGCTCTTAGGTTTAAAGGAAGCAAAGCAAAGCTTAACTTCCCCGAAAGAGTTCATCGAACACCCGAATCCGATTGTCTCACAACTAGCCACGAAGTCGAACCATTGGCACCACCGCTAGGTTTAGCTCCTCCATCATCACTTTCTGATCAGTACGCACAGCCACAGCTTTTTGGCGGCGGAAGCAATGGTTTAAACTATGGTTTATCAGGTGGTGAGTATGGTGGAGCAGTCGGCACAATGTTTACTTCATACTCCACAACCCTATCTTCATCTTCATCTTCCACGATGTTAACATCTCGACAGCAACCACAACAAGAGCAATTGGAGTTCGGTGGCTCATCTCCGAAATCGGATCCCGGTAAGAACAAGGGAGAGAAATATGATTATTACTATTCAAGAAAACAGTACAATTGATTGCAGGTTTGCTTCATAATTTTGGAGACATAATGAATTGTTCAAAATGATCTTCTGGATTTCCTTTTTTGTTTGCATTTAGTTTCCTTATCAACTCTTTTTGTTTTAGAAGTGAAAAATTTCCTTTAAGATACCATGAATGAAGACTGTATTAACTTTAGCATCTTTGCATGCAAGAAACCTGTGGCCTGTGGGGATAAATTCTATGGGATAGAAATTGGCTTATAATAAAAGTTTTCATTTTATTTATACTAAAAATTGTATAAATAAAATAAAATTACTAATTCTTTCTACCTTCGAACTTATGAAACATCATCTTATGTTCTTAATTTATTATTCAAAACATTAAAGTCTCCATTTATGTATTTATATATAGCTAATATTTGATGTATTAGCATCAACACATTGTCTTCATAAAAACTCATTGTTTCTGTCGAACGAGACGCTTTATAAAGTGATAAAAGAGTGATGAACACACTTTACAAAGTGATAAAGAATGGTGAGTGAACTAAACTATCTAGCAAGCTTTTTCTCTACACAATTATGATTATATCGATAAACAAATTTTTACCAAAACAATCACAAAGGTATACGAAATACATACCAAAAGCTATAAGAAACGTGTCATAAGAGCAGAAAAAACATGTACCACAAGGAAAAAGATTATTATTCAAAATTGAAAAAAACTAAAGAAAAAAATAAATGAAATTTTTTAAAAAATCAATAGAATTAATAATTATTGTATGAAAAATAAGAGAATTAATAATTACGGATGGTTTTTCAACTAGTGTCTATCCCTTTTATGGACCTATAAACGTGAAATGTTAGTTATTAAGCTGCTATGCTTTAATGGGCTTATAATTAATATTAGAGTCGCACACAAAATAACGGCACCAAATGTCTTTATTTTAATAGAAAAAAGGATTTGAAAATATAAATGTTTTTTTGAATAATGAGAAAGAAATGGTCAAAACCTGAGCGTCGGAGGATGGTCATGAAATTCGGCGGTGGGCTTTGATATTGGGCCGACACGTGCCAAGAAACTTTGAAGCCAAGTTTTCATATTCATTACTTATGATTTTGAAATACCCGTTTAGGGATAGGTGTGGGTCGGGTTTATGGTCCACCCAATCCGATCTGAGAACAAGAGAGCCTTCACCCGAGACTTGACCTGACTTAAACAAGGTTTTACCCGACCCGAATATATGATATAAAAATCCAACCTGACCCGAAATAAAAAAAAATTATTCAATAAAAATAATGACTTAATTGAAAAAAATTATATATAGAGAGGTATTATTGTAATTATTTCTAAATATATAAGGTAAAATTATATATTTTTTTTCGGGTCAGGTCGGGTAGAATTTTTTAACCCTAAACCCGAACCTAAACCCCACATAAAAAACCCGACCCGGTCGGGCTATACCCGTTACTTGAATAATTAAAACTTTGCGGCGTATTCATTCTCTTTCTGTTTTGTTTTTACGCATTGACCATTTCCCAATGCTCAATCCTAAGCTCTTCATCATTTTAATTTTATTGAAATATATATTATATCTTATATTTTAAGATATTATAATGTTGATCAGATTTTAATCTTAATTAACAATTCTATATTAAAATATATTAATTCAATAAAATCAAGTTTTCACTAAAATTTTCTTCAAATATATAATGAATATATAATAAAATACAATTTTTTTACTCTAACCGGGATATAAATAAATAAATAAATGCATAACTTAAAATGCTTACTACGATAAGTCCTCCACTATCAGGTAAATTCTAAGTTAACGAAATTCTTCATTATATTTCAATTATAATATGTTAATATTTTTTATTAAAATGATTCAAAATATGAATAAAATACATTCACATATTAATCAGTTATAATATTTGTGTATATATATCATATTATCTGCTATTCAATTATTTCATGTTAGAGTTCTTATTAGGTCATTTTCTCTCTTTTTTTATTGCCAGTAACTATATATATTATGTCGTGATAAGTTTGTCATTTGAATGGTGCAACCTAGTGGTTGGGGCATTTGCTTTCTCTCCTCACGTCTTGGGTTCAAACTTTATCAACAACAATTATTGGTTCAATTTATTTTCTATTCATTCAATTGGTGACACGTGACACCATTTGATTAGATGTAAAATTTATTAAATTAAATAAAAATATTAAGAAAAAAATCTAACTACATAGTGATGCATGTCACCATCTGGTTGATGATTAAATTTATTAAATTAATTAAAAATACGACCAAATTAATAGAATGTGTAAGTAATGATGAATAAATGTGTAATTATACAAATTTATTAACTGCCGCGTCATCTCATCCGTTAATATTTAACGGCAAGTGGCTTGATTAACAATATTTAAATAGTTAGGTAACCTGATTGACAAAATTGAAAAATCGGTAGTTAAAGTAAAAAAGTTAAATAGTTAGCTGGTCAATGGTATAGTTTACCATAAAAAACTGATGTTTTATAAATATTATATTTTAATTAAATTTAATTTAATTTTTTTAACTAATTTATCATTATACGTTTTGTTGAACTATGTTTTATAATGTTTTGATATAACAAATTAAGACAAATGTTTTTGGAATTGATTGAATTTATTCAAAGTTTTAAAAAATAATTCAAAGTCTATTAAATTGGAATTTGAGCACAAAATAGTTTTCTGAGTATGTAGTATCGATACTGTTCTTACATTATCGATATTGTTCTTACATTATCAATACTATATGAACAGTACTGATACTGTTCATGTGGTATCGAAACCAAAAGTAAGAGAAATGTCGATACTCTCTATGTAATATCGATACTACCAGTTGTTTTCAAATTACTCAAATTCCAGAATGCAAAATAGACACCGATACTCCCTGTATTGATACCGGTCAAGCCCAACGGTCTTTAACGACTAGTTTATTTAAATATAACAAAGGTAGTACCGATACTCCCTGTATTGAGAAGTTTTATTTTGCAAAAAATTAATCCTTAACGGCTCCAAAACATCCCCAACGGCTAGAAACGGTCACAAACACATTCCAACATATAAAAATAACTTGAGGACACTCATTGTAAATCTTTTAATTGTTTTTCTTGCCAGCTTAAATCTTGTAAACATCTTAACTTTGAGAGATTTTCTTGTTTACTTCTTTTTACCTTTTGTAAAGGGGATTGATCCTAGTTTAGCCAAGTGAAAAACTAAGTTGTAAATGTTATATCTTTATCCTTGGAAAAGAATGAACAAATTTGTGGATTTGTTGGAAAATCTTAAGTGAGGAGCATAGGTAGTGGATGTAGACTTGGTTGATAAGTCGAACCACTATAAATCCTTGTGCAAATTTCCCTATCTTTATTCTCCTTGCTCCCTAAACTTTAAATTGCCAATTTACCCATTCTTGGCATGTATTCGATTGTTCAACTAATCTTCTTCAATCCCAACACATTTAGTACTTTATAATTTAACGTTTTATAAATTAATTTAATAGTGCTCATAATTATCGGTGCTCATCCATGTTCGTCGAACGTGGCATCATCATCTTATTTCATAATATCGTATACAAATACATTTACCTTCTTTTCTAGAAGGATAATAATACAATCAAATTAGTTAGTAAATATAAGGATAATACACATGAATCATAATAAATAAAACTAATCAATACATATTTAAATTAAAATGATTTTAGATAACAAAATTTATACAAATATATATATATATATATAATTTACGTACAATAAAGGTTGGAACGTGAGTGAAAGGATCCTCTCTTGAAAATGGGAAACATATAATTAGGGTTATAAACTCCGAAGCAATTTGGGCTCTGCTTACTTGGACCGACACCCAATTGAATGGGGTTAGGATAAGTTTGGGTTTTTATTTAAGTTTTGCTTTATGATAATATGATATAGAGTAAATTACGTATTTAGTCATTTTTTTTAGTTTTGTTTTGATTATTTATTTTTTGAAATAATGTTTAGCGTTTCATTTTAGTTATATTTTGGTTATCTATCGTTAAAAATAATCAAAACTATCAAGATAATTTTCTTAATGACGACATCATATTATCTTAACGTGATATATCATTAATTATGTTTATTTTTTAACGATAAGTTATCAAAACATATTGTTAGATATATTTGTCTAAAAAAAATATTTAAATTATCAAAACAGAAGTACGAAGGTGAACATACGATTGAATATATAGTTTGCCCTAAAAATTAAGATCGGAAGATTGATGGATATAAAAAAATGTTACTTATGTGAATTTCTTTTGTGCCGAACTAAGTTTCAATGTCAAGATGGCCGAGTTGGTCTAAGGCGCCAGTTTCAGGTACAGGTCCGAAAGGGCATGGTTTCGAATCCCATTCCTGACATGACGTTTTAACTTTTGAAGGTTAACTTTAATGAGATTCCTTCGCATGATAGGTATATAGGCTAAGGCCCACGGATTATCCGTGTAACACGTGATTCGTGCGGGTTTCGGGTCTCAAAAATTAAAGATCGTTTAATTTGTAGGTTTTTTAGCCTGGACTGTTAAACCCGCGGGTTTAATGGGTATAATCGCGGGCTACTCGCGAAACCCGTTAAAACCCGCTTAATTTAAAATTCATAAAATTTTAAAAAAAATAAACTTAAAGAATTTTATAGAAAAAGAAAATAATTTACATATAAATATGATGTTATTTATAACTATTGTAGTTCTTAAATTTATTAAGATATTTGTCATAATTTGACCGCTGTTTGATATTTTTTTCATTTAAATATACATCATTATCATTTTGGTATTTAAAGATTTTTTTATTTAATTTTGACTTTTATTTTTTTTCATGAAGTATGTTATCCATTTTGTTCTTTAATTATAAAAAGTCATGTGATATTTTAATAATATATCACATAACACATAATATTTAGATTAAAAATAAAAAAGAAAATGAAAAGAAAAAATTAAAAACATATTTTCCAACTTTTAAAGACTTTTACA